ATGTGAAAGAGGTAGGGTAAAAACGAAAATTAGATCATGGCTCTTATATTTAGGTATATTTTCTCAATGCAATATTGATGAATACCTTACTTAATTTGAGTTTTTGATTCTGAGGAACTCTTGTTAGTTTTAATCATCTATCTCCAAGGGCCTATCTTTCGTGAATACATCTAGATATTAATTGCCACAAGATAAATCAAGCATTTTTTAATCAAATCCCCGACTCTATCTGCACGTAAATGCTTTCATTAATCTGCTTGCTTTACGTGACCACAAATCTATACTCCAACCCTAGTTTATATTTTCATGGGTTGGTTTGAGAAGACTCTCTTATTCTGTTACCTGTGAGGTGTGAGGGATTAAAGCAACGTATGGCATAATTGGAATGAGACATTCGATAGATATGTGCTTAATTTTATCCCTTACAATAGGGTAGACTACCGAAAATCTCGAGGCTATTAAACTTGCTCATATGGAAAATTTACGTCTTTTGCTAAAATACCTTATTTTCCGTATATAATAAGCATTTCGTGACAACCAGTGGCTCATCTTGAGCCATTAGATAATAAAGAGGCCTTTGAAAAATTGAAAAACCATTATACGGAAACATGAATTTAGAAATCGGCCTAACAATAAATTTAAATTGCCTATACTCGAAAGTAAAGAAAGAAATTAATGGTTAGTAGGGCTGTAAAAAGGCTTTCAGCTTGAATAGCTAAAATAAGCCACCCGCTCCAAAGCTATTATCAATTACCCACCAAACAGCAATTTTACTAATCTCCAGGGAAAAAACAGCCTAATATATCCCTTGCTCTGATGATGTTCGTCATATGACGAACGAAAGCTTAGCACCTTTTCACCGGAATCGAAGAAGATTACCTTGAAAACAGCGTTAGCATATGTCTTTCAGTAAAGCCAATCGACAGCTAGTCAAGAGGAATCCATCGTCGTCTTCTGGTGGAACCGACTTTCGAATCTCTTTACCCAACACTTTTACTCTAAATGGAAGTAAGCTCAACAATTATAAAACAACAGATTCCTCGAAACCAACTTTTCTTTGCATATGATAACTTTGACTCAGACAGTGGAAGACTTTTGTATTATAAAAAAGGATTAGGACTAAATTGACTACTTTTGCGCTATAATCTATAATTCCCGCGCTCGATAACACTATAAAATAAGAGATTAGGGATTCTTTTTAAGCAGGCATAGGCTAGAATCTCGAGTAATCTCCAGTCTAGTCAGACAGAGCTTTTTGTCTGCTCCCTTCAGGTTTGACCCTCTTATCTAGTCAATAATCCTCTATGATGCCTAAATAACTTGAAATTGAAATTGAATTGGTGAGGCACATCTTGTATTGAATTGTATCTCAAGGAATTAAAAGTGACAATACAGCAACCAGACGCAGATAATGAAACAACTCACCTGGAGACTTCAACCCAATACCATTTGTTATCAACAAGCCTAGTTGAAGATGATTCAAAAATGTCGAAATCCTTCTTAAGGTTGTCAGGCAGGTCGGGGTAAGCATCCACTTCAATGTAGTTTTCATCTTCGTCTTCATCCTCTATAATTGATTCAGAGTGAATGACATTCTTTTTGGCCATGGGGTTCTGCTTCATCATTTTTTCGATGGAGTGCCCATCTGCACTGCTTCTAAACAGATTTACGTTCACTTTAGCCCGATTTCTGTCAATCGTCTTTGACATCCCTTGTGGCCGGTTTTGAATTGCCAACCTTATTTTCTTTGATTCTCTTTTATTGTTTTCCGAG